AAAGATTGATAGCATAATATATGCATAAATTCAAGATTATTTTATAAAATTATTATCTTATTATCTATTGTACATTGTGCCATTACTGAAAAATTCCTCATTTATTTTCATATGTAACAAAATAATACATAAAAATATGTTTACATGGTTTCAATTATTAAAATAATATACATATTTTTAAGAAATCCTAGAAATTGAAGACTTAACATTGACTCAGCTTTTTAGATGATTACAATTTTTATTTAGTCTTTTCTTGCCTGAGATAACTAAGTATAGTATTTCTATACCAATTTAAAGATATTATTTCTAGAATGTCATTGATATTTCAGTAAAATAATTTTATCCTAATTTTATCCTAAGGAAGTGTTCAAATAACACCTTTATACATAAAATAAAATGAGTAATGAAAATAAAATAAGAAGAATAACAAAGATCTTTATCATTAATTAAAAATCTGTTTGAACCCAAATTACTTCTTGTTACTAAACAAAATAATTTGAGATAGAATCAAATTGGGGGCAAAAATCATATTATTGTAATATCTGATATGGTAAAAAATGTAATTTTGCGTATATTGCTAACATGGTGTGTTTAAAGAAGAATGCTGACATTTCATGGAACTAGAATTTTGGCTGAATATTTGAATAAATGTCATCCCAATTGAGTTCACCTGCCAAAATCAGATGATCAGAGAAAAGTAGTTTACATATGTGATATTTCCATTAAAAAAAAATTTCCATTTCATAATCATTGAAAGTTGTTATCTAATGTTATCCAATGCAGAAAATCTGTACTAGAAAGAAAGTCAGCAATAGACATATAATTAAACTAAATATGAGCTAAGAGTAAAAGTCAATCTTTAAGGTTTATTACATGAATATTTAAGGTTAATTTTACATACAACAGGCTCCAACAAATTTCAATTAAACTTTTATTAAGTGTTTCAGAAAAAAAAAAAAACAAACTGATAAGAAGATATATAAAAATTTTAGTGTGTTAATTTATTTAATAATTTGTCTATTAAGTGCAGATTTTGCCTAAAACATTATGCAAACACTAAAGATACAGCAGCGACTATTTGAAAATTGCACAAGAGTAAAAGAGAACATGTAGCAGAGGTATCTGAACAAATTTTAGGGTAATGAAAGATTTCCCTTAGCAAATAACATTTGAGTTAAGATTTAAAAGAGTTAAATAAGCAAAGAATCCCCCAAATGGAGAATTTCAGACAATTTATAGAAAGGCAAGATGAAACATATGTAATAAAAGGATCTAAAAGAAAGTATACTTACGGAGAATTCAAAGAATGAAATTGAGTGTTAGAAGGCAAGAGAGTACAGAATTGTACAGACCATGTAGGTCTTAAGGGATATACTAATGATTTTGCTTTGAAACCTAAAAGCAAAGATTAACCATGCAAGATTTCAACCAGATAATTGATGTGATCAGATTGATGTTTTAAAAAGACAATTTTGTCTAGTTTTAGAATTTAGAAGGGTGAAAAATTGACACAAGAGAGATCATTCACTGATGTAGCAAACTAGATAAAAAAGTGATTGTGGAGCTATAAAAAAAGAAATGAGATTTGAAAATTACTTAAGAGGTAGATCAACCAGAATTGGAAATTAGTTGATTGATTTAAGAAAGATAAGGGAACAGGAGGTGTCTGGTGTACATAGCTGGATACAGCTCGTAGTATCTATAAAACTAGAGATTACTGGAAGAGGAATGTAGTGGGAGAGGGTTGGAGACTTTGAGTTCAGTTTGGACATATCAAATGTGCCATGTCTTTTAGATATTGAAGTGGGCACGTCGAATAGTTTCCGTGTGTAAATAAGTATAGCTTGTGGCACAGAACTGTTGTAGGATATAAACCTGAGAGTGATTGGTGAGAAGATAGAAACTGAAAAGATGGTTTTGGATGAAAAAATCTGGAGAATTATCTGAGAACAGATTACGAATCCGCTTCGTGGTGATCTCAATATTTAAAGACGAAATTTAAGAAGACAGCCCAACAGAATCTGAGAGACAGTAACTTAGAGATGTAAGAGTTGGATCAGATATGTGTGTGGGGTTGGAGTGGGGAGTGGGGAGAGATGTTAGAAAAACCTAGGCAAGCCAAGACAATTCTTAGGAACAGAGTCTAATCAACATTTTAACTAATTCTGATGTCAAATGAAAGTATTGTATTGTATCCCTTGATTTTGGTAACTTAGAAGTTATTTGGTCGTCTTCCCGAATGTTTCATAGAAATACATGTTATGCATATAATTTGCTTTGGTATTTGCTTATAATTGAATTCTGTATTTCAGATCTAAAGCGAATGCTGAACCACGCTTCAGGGGGCCATTTGTTACACAAATCTCCGCGTCTCATAAACTATTGAAACTAAAAAGGGCAGAGCTAAGAGGAATAAGACTATATTCTGTTTTCCTCTAACAGCTACCCGCCACTATATATTTTACTTTATTGAAATAGATATTTCCCGATATGTATTTGACATACACCATTTCTATACACTGAGTAGATCAGGAGTGCCAGGAAAATAACACTCCCCTTCCAGAGCAAAGCTCAACCAAACTCTAATGAGAATTGGTAAATATTCGCTAAAAAGTCCTGTCCCTCACCCACCAAGTAACATTACTCTGACTCATGCCCTTCCTTGTTTCACAATTCCAGAGCAGGATTGAAACCTAGTTGCCCATGTTGCAATCTACTCAGTAACATACTTTTTCTTTTCTTCTGTCCCACTTCTGTTTTACTTCTCAGTGCTTCCTGAGATCACCCCTCAAAAAACATGTATCAAGGTTAGTTTGTTAGGATTTCGTATTAGTTAGAGTTCTCCAGAGAAACAGAACTAATCGGATAAATGGACACACACACGCGCGCACACACACAATAAGTAATTGTTACACACAATTATGGAGATTGGCAAGTATTAGATCTTCAGGCTGAGTTTGCAAGCTAGAGACTAGAAGAACCAATGATTTAGTGTCATTCTGAGTCCAAAAACCTGAGAACCAGAACTGATGTAGTTTCAGTTTGAAGGCCAGCAGGATCAAGACCCAGGAAGAGCAGATGTATTAGTTCAAGTATAAAGGCAGGAAAAACAAACAAACAAACAAAAAAACGATCTTCCAACCTCTAGGCCATCAGATAGGAAGAATCCTCTCCTACCTGAAGGAGGGTCAGCCTTTTGGCTTTATTCAAGCCTTCAACTGATTCGATGAGGCCCACTCACAATATAAGAAATCTGCTTTCCTTAGTCTACCAATTTCCTCCAAAAAACACTCTCACAGAAACACTTAGTATAATGTTTGGCCAAATATCTGGGCATCTCATGGTGTAATCAAGTTGACACATAAAATTAACCATCACAGACACTGAACTTAACACAAATTTCTTTCCCAGAATCACATTTTTTTGATCTTCTGCAACCATTTTCTCTGTATATTGTTTTATATGTCAGGAGAAAATTAAATTTTGCTTTATGTACATATGTTTAAATTTCAAAAAGCCATCACCTCATTTTGCTCAGAATTAATTTGGTTCACATCTGTTACCATAATTATTAGTATTTTTCCTTCACTTCAGAAAATGTTCTGCTTTGAAAACAAAATATGATTATCTGACTAATAACCGTGTTAATGATAATAGAAAAAAAATGAATGAAGAGTATTTAAATCCTCGAACTATTCTACTAGTTAAAAAAAAAAAAAAAACATGTGATGGAGATGTGCCACATTATTTCAAATTAGTTTTTCTTCCTGGGTAATTTTGCACTGCAATTATTTATCATGATGTCTATGGAATGCCTATTTGTAACCTGGATATTGCTGATTATCTTAATATATTTTCTTGTTTAAAGGATTTAGTAGAATGCATTTGAAAACTAGAATTTTTTTTTTTTTAAGTATGATAGATCTTCCACAGGTTCATACTTTATTGTTCTATATGTAAGAAATCTGAATAATATTTTCCTGAAATAAGAACTAAGATAAAAATTACACAGTTGATTTATACTTATTTGATTGACTTCAAAATCAGAGAGTGAGTATAACCCTAGGGTAGTTCAGTTATTCCATCACCACTAAGGAAAGGATGAGAATAATTGTGGCTATCAGGAGAGCGCAGAGCCTGTTTTGTTCATTGTGGAGATAGGAAAAGACAATTGCATGTTGACTGTGGGACACACAATGCCAGGACTAGTAAAGTCTCATAAAGAAATGAGAGTGTTTACACTGTCTCCTTTCTATAGCTTAATTTCCATTTCTTCTATGAAATATGTATCTTTGTGTTTCTTAAAGAATATTACATGGCACAAAGTCATAAATATAAATGTCTTAAAGTATTCTTGAATCTTTTTCCACTAGGGATGATTTTATTGCTAAATGGAAATAATTTTATAACAATTATATTGTAGTTGTGGCATATATAATAAAATATTAACTTTTAGTAATATTATAAGTAATTATTTTAAACAATTTACTAACTCTAGAGCAAGTAACATGCTAAGTGCTGCATTACTGCATTTTCAAAAAGATTCTGCATAATGCTAGTGAGACAGTAGTTGATCTCTAGTTCTTTGTGCATTCCCTATTATGAATTTCTGGTATTCCTGCAACAATGAAAGTGTTGTTATTCAAATGCACATAAATGCATTCAGTCCATAATAATAGTATTCATAGCTATCTATAAATAGTTGAAGAAACAATTGTATGAAATGCTTGATATTCATCTGAACCACTTTTTGCAATTTCACTTTTAAATTCAGATTTCAGAAATAACACAACAGTGGTGCTCATAAAATATTCAGATATTTTTGTTAGCTTTTCATGGACAGGATGGTAGCTTCTTAAAATTACATACTCTGTTTCATCAAATCTAAGAAATCCCTTATAAATAGACACAATTATAAGAAATAGCATGAAACAACATAATGTATGATTACTAAATATGTCGTTTTATATGTGTTTAATGACCTTTTTATTTTTTTCTAGATACACCATCAGTTAAGATTATACCATCCACTCCTTTTCCACAAGAAGGACAGCCTTTAATTTTGACTTGTGAATCCAAAGGAAAACCACTGTAAGTGATTTAATGAGCAATGAAATTTTTCACTTTTTCTTCCATTCTACTTTGATTGCAGGCTTTAACTGCAGAAATCCACTGTTTTTGTTGTTGTCGTTGTTGTTGTTATTGTTGTTGTTATTTTTGTCTTTCTTTGGTGGGCAAAATGAACTCTAGAATAGAAAATCCCTGAACCATGTCTTCATTAAATGTCTGTGGAAGATTGTTCTTTTACTTTGTCATCTAGTGAAGTTTCTGGGAAGGTTTCCAGCTGTGATTTTTTTTTTCTCCCCAGTAACATATTTCAACCTGAAAGGAGTATAGGCTTAATCAGTCACTGTTTACATCATCAGATTGATAGAAGTTACACATTGCTGAACTTGGTTCTCTCATGAAAAACTTTGAAAATATTAAAGCATCCTCAAAATATGCCCAAGTTTTAAAGTTATAAAGAAAATTATTTTCATAATAAGGAAAATCAACTCTGTATTTCTTATATAGCAGCTCCCATGAAACATAATTTGTGAATGTCATAGGCTTGGAGGTAATATGAATGAAAGCTCAATGTTTTCAATTGCATAGTTATGCATTATGAAATTTACGAGTTCTAACATCACTTCAACTCTAAAATTATGCTTTTTAATATTTTGCGTTAACACACAGCTAACTCTAGTTTTTATACAAAAATCAAATCAGTATAGATTATCCAAATATGGATTATTCAAAGACTATTTGAAAGCCATTTGATCATTTTAAGATAGTAATACTCTAAATTTAGCTTAATAATTTATTTGATTTTTAAAAAGCCTCCATATTGATTTGCATTTATGTTTAAAATTTAATAAGAGGGACTTAATTATTCTCTGCATATAATTATATGGGATATAGCGTCTATACAAATCAAGTTAAATTACTAAAAAATTTTAAAATAATATTTGTTATTTAGTGTAGATTTCATATTATTTCATGAGGAATTTGTCTAAAAGAATTTTAAGACAGAAGTTTGAAACTTTAGCTTCTTCAGTTGTATCGCATTATACTTTTTAAGACACAAAGCAAGTTTACTATCACAGTTTGATATTTTAAAACTGCTTTCTTCCAATAATTATTTTCTAGAGATATAAAAATACAGATTTAAAGAGCATATTTTGAATTAGTGCATTATTTTCTTCTATATTTTAAGAAACATTTAGATAATTTTAAACTTTGAAAAGAAAATATTTTTAGTAGTATTTCTGTATATATCCTTCATAATTTATTTTAATAATTCTTACCTTCTGATAAGATTAAATTGCTAGAGAAAACATTTTCCAACTGCAGTTTGCTATCTGAATTTGACAGTACATTTTAGAATTAAAGTTTCAGCAAGAGCTTTTGACTACAATTGCAGTACTTTAACTAGGGAATGACGTATGATAGACTCTAGTAAGCTTTAGACATACTTAAATCCTACTTTCTTTACTTCTGATTCTCTGTCCCTAACACCAGAACCTGTTTCTAACTTTCCCTTCCATCGCTACTCCTGTTCCTTTCACTTATTTTCCAATTCTGTCTGTCTTTCTCTTTTTTTTTTTTTTTTTGCTTCTGTTTTTATTTTTCTTTTTGTTTTTTCTTATAACCTCAGGGATCAACATATGGGGATATGGAGGAACATGATCAGAATCAGGGCATAGCAAATTTTGCTTTCATTTTCTCTCCTTAGTGCTGCCCTAAAGTACACATGCGTACATTTGGGCAACTTAAATAACTAAATAAGGTGATAATGGGAAATATAATATATAGAACACTTGAAAATATATATGTAGACATCCCTACTCAAATAGCAACTGATTATCTTCAATGATCTACTCTTTGATTTCATATCCACTCCAAACAGTAGAAACAGCATTTTATTTTTGTGAGAAATTAGATTGTGATGTCTAAGTAATTAGATATTTAAGTAGTCCATTTCCGTAAGCTGAGATATGGTTGAATAGATGTGCCTAATTATCGGTCTCTGTTCCAGCTATCTGGAAATAAACTTGGACTTAGATATGTAATGATCTGCACTATAAATGACCAAAAAGTATAATAATCTCTTATTAATTAATTAACTAATTTGAAAATACAAAAGTTCTGGAAGTTTAACTATAGGAAGTATCTCCTTTCTCAGAAGGATCCTGATTAATATCATTTTGCAAATAGGTAAAGGAAACACGAAAAGTCTTCTTATTTTGCAGAAGAGAAAACTAAAGCTCAGCAATGTAAACCAAATTTTTCTTATTCACTCATATTGAAAGTGGATGAATTAGGATTTAAACTCAGTTTAATCATTGCTCAAAGTTTACATTCTTTCAGCTATTTTCTGTTACTTCAATTGCTGAGTCTAAATTCCCACTTATGTTAGCCCAAGTCAATCCTGATAAACTCAGATGGGTCCTATAATAATGTTCAGCACTGAAATTGAACTCATGGATGCTTGAAGGTGAAGAAGTAGCTAATCTCAAGACATATTTTACTCTTGCAATCCTCTTTTATCAAACTTTTTTCTATAATTAGCCCCTTTCTCAAAACTTGCCAAATTCTTACCAAACTGACCGTATCTAGTTTGAGTTTATAAAAAAAAAAAATTCTTAAGTACAGTATCTTCCGACAATTAACTCAGAAGTTCCATGAGGGCTAAAATGGTCATTAAATTCTGTCTTTATTCTTGTTTATCCAATGTTGTAACCTATATGCTATGGTCCACAAGTAAATGTGTATTAACTTACTTTATTGTATTGTATCCTCATTCCCAACTAGCTTTTTACCATTTTCATTCCTTGTAGACTGCCAGGTCATTAACATTAAAAGTATAATCAATTTTGATTCCGTATTGCCTTTAGACCACTGGTTTTCCTATGTTCTTCCTAATAATTTTCTTTTTTGCATTTTCAAAGTAACTACTATTTCCAATAAATGTAGACATTAACCTCTTTAAAGATAGTCTAATTTCTAACCTCTCCTTATATTATATCTTTAACAGTGCCAGATAAGGAAAATAAGATAAAAAACAAGGAAAGACTAAAAGAAAAATCAATGAATTTTCCCAGAAGAAAAACTTACTGATCATAAAGAAAACAGTCTCACTAGAGCAGAGAGAACAGAAGGCATATTGTAATGAATTAATCAGGCAATTAGAAGGCGGTGGGGTAGCAAAGATAATGAAAAAAGACCATGCATATCAGAAAATGGATCAAAAAAAAGAGATGAGGAATGAAAAAAGGAATTTAGGTCAAACAGAAGTTTTAAAATATAATAATAATAATAATAGAACTATTTATATGTTAAGATAAGATCAAAAAGCCTATAAAGAATGGGAGTAAACATGAAGAATGTGATATCACATAAACCCAGTGGGAAGGTTCGAGTTTCCTATTTTACTGCCCAATAGGTTCGAGTTTCCTAATTTACTCCATTATTTTGGAGCTATTACACCTGATTCCCCATTTTCATATTTTGGAACCACTGAAAAGCAACACTGTGGCTTAGCTTCTGGTTGGCTCAAAACACTTAATTTCTATTACCTTTCTATTTACCTGATCCACTTTTAATGAACAGATAGGAAGCAGAAATGGATAATGGATATATGATTCCTTTGTATCTTGTAGCTGACTTAATATCTTTAATCCTTGACTAGGTCTTTATTGTTTCTTTAAAAATGTTTGCACAATTTATAATTTCCACAAGAATGAGTTACTCATGGTTATTAAGCGTATTGGTAATAAACAAAATAACATCATTATTTTATAAATCACAAATGATAGTGTGGCTCAACTTGTGCTGAGACTCATGTCCCTAACCTGCCATCCTGTATGCTAATGCTGTTTTCTTTGTTCTAAATGTGAAGGCCCCAGCGACTGTTTATGAACAATCATGCCTTATTTGCCTGCTTTGGACTGAAGCCTTTTGCTGTTTTCCTGTGGAACAGCTGCATAACTTGGGCCAGGACCAAATTGTTCCACTCGACATTACTATAAAGGCATTCTATTCTTTCCTTAAAAGAGAGATTACTGTACATGTCTTGTCTATTGTTTTAATTTTAGTTTAAAGTGAGGATCAAGCTAATGCCAACCACTTTTCTTTAAAGTCCCCAGAGTTTTTGCAACCTTCTTCTTTCTTTGGCTGAATTCCCAGACAGCTTTCAGGCAGCAGCATTCTCCATTTATAGAAGAAGAGAGAGATTAGGGAGGTGGGGTGGGGGGAGGAGGCTGTTATATTATATTAAAATCATGCCCTTAAAAGGTGTGGGGTTGCCCCCCACATGCTATAACTAAAAGAATCATTATTTATTTTGATAAATCAAATGTTTAATACTTTTTAAATATACTTCAGCAAAAACAGTGGGGGCATTTTCAGTTAAATGTGCATTTGGCATTTATTCTAGGAAAGAAAATAATTGTAGGTATTAATACATTTTTCTGTGTATACAGAATGATATTTATGTTGTACTTACTATTTTATTTTCTGGTAATGACAATTTTCCTCATGTTCTTGGCATTAATTTAGTATACATAATTGTATAGATCTCTATTCTGTACAAGAAAGATTTTAATCTTTAAGAAGATAGATCACATATCATATAACAACTAGTGAAGTATTTTAGAGCAGCAGTTACACATCCATTTTTGGAATTATCAAGAATTTAAGAAGAAATCTAAGAACTTACTAATGGATTTTCCTACTAGCACAATAGAGATTAATAAATGAGATTCAAAGAAAGGCAAAACAGTTTTATATCAAGTCAGTTTTCTCAACCTAATATGTACCCATTTGCAAATAACATGTTATTTACTAATTGTAATATTATCCAAACACAGGCAGAAGAAATGACCAAACAAACCAAGAATTTAAGAAGGCAAGTTATCATCCAGAGTAAAATAATTTAGGTCAAAACCTGACCAAGTATGAACTTAAAAAGTATATCGTTCTACAATAATAGCAATGCATATGATTTGACCTAATGCGTAACAGATGTTAATTGTACAATATTTGTTTTT